TTTTGTCAATATACAGCATATAACATACATACCATTAAAAGTATAACAGTAAAACTGAACAGTTATTTATTCTTTACTCTAAGAATTAACATGGTTACCCTTCTGGATCCTGATCCAAAGCCCCTTTCAGTCAATAGGAGCCTTTCCCTGGGCTTCAAAGACTTGGTATTAGACTCTTAATGAACATTTCCTACAGAAAGCATAAGTGACTGTCACTCACAAGTGACTGTCAGGACATAACTTTTCAATTAATCAAAGATATTCAGAGCCATAAAATCCTCCTCTTCAAGCAGCGTAATAAGAAAAAATTTAGAGTTTAGTCTCATGGACCAGCCTTTGATTCTTTCTGCTCAAAAAGAGATGAACAGAGCAAATGTCTACCCTCTCTTACTTTCCCATCTTCACAGGCTTTATTTATTCATTAGTTGACCTTTCTAGCCATTAGGACCATCTTGCTTCAGCAGTTAATTAACACAAGTGCCATAATTTAATACAGTTAATGCTACTTGATGCCCTTTAATGTACCTTCCATTAGTGATATTATTGTAGTATTACCCTGTAAATTAAAATGAGATCAAGACTAAGAGAGGCTTTCTTTAATTAAGGTACTGGCACACTACACTTGTCCATTATTCACCAGAGAAAATCACCCTGATTTAGTGAAGCAGATCATCCATAAGTCAGAATTAGTTCATGAGGATTATTAGGTTTCTTGAATAATGTGCATGCAATGGGGTTGCTGAAATTGCTAACAGCCATGTTTCCTCTTTTTTCATTATCTTAACAAACACACAATGAAAGCTGAATAAACAACTGGTAATAGAAAAACTGAAGGGTTTATCAAGAGGTTTTCATCTCTAATACAATAAACATCAAGCTCATTTCACAACAAAATGCAACGGAATGAGAAAACAAATTGTATATTAAATGGGCAAATTTCCTAGCTTGAATATGTTGCGAGGTATTAAAAAGCTGCATATTTAACACGGCAGTTTTCAGACAAATACTTTTCACAGACATTGATCCCTAAAATTCAACAGGAAACAACTTACATAGAAACTCAGCTTCCTTTAAAAATATGCTGTTAAGATGATTGGTTATTTTAACCATCCTCAACCTACAGATGAATGTTACAGCATAAGCTACAGCATTAAAAAGAGTCTATTAGCATCACTCTTCCACAGCATGTCAAGTTACTCAGTAACCTCTCTTTGCATGTTATCCTTATGGAATAGCCCAGACTAGCTCTTCAATATCCAGAAAAAATTCTAAGCCCACAATATCAAACATCATGGCTAAACTTTAAGGCCCAATTAACTTATTGGATTCAGATACTACTGGTGGAAAATCCACCTGGATTAGATATATAGTGGAGTAACACTCTGGGTTCCGAGTTGCCCAGTGTGGCCAGCGGTCAGGTAAGAGACAAGGCAACTGGGAGTACTGCTGATTCACAGAATCTTCAGGCCAGCCTCTGTCAGTGGTCTTCTGCAGAGCACTGGTGATGTTTAAAGCTGTCTTTCCCTGATGGAGGATGGCAGTGGTACTACAGTAGGGTTGCCAACCCTCCAAGACAGTCCTGGAACAGTGGTGGGCAACCTGCGGCCCGTCAGGGTAATCTGCTGCCGGGCCACGAGACTGTTTGTTTACATTCACCGTCTGCAGGCACGGCCGCCCACAGCTCCCAGTGGCTGTGGTTTGCCGTTCCCAGCCAATGGGAGCTGTGGGAAACGGCAGCCAGCCCGCAGCTCCCATTGGCTGGGAACGGCTAACTGTGGCCACTGGGAGCTGCGGGCGGCCGTACCTGCAGGCAGTCAATGTAAACAAACTGTCTTGTGGCCCGCCAGCAGATTATCCGCATGCGGCCGCAGGTTGCCCACCACTGTCCTGGAGTCTCCAGGAATTAAAAATTAATCTTTAATTAAAGATTATGTCGTGATGAAACCTTCAGGAATACATCCAAGCAAAGTTGGCAAACCTATACTACAGCCTGCTCTTCCTTGGAGTGGCCAAAGGTTCACAGGATGCTGAGAGCACCCTGACATGTGCATGGGGATGGATCAAGCCCTAATTTTTTATTTATTTATTAATTTATCAGCATACTTTGGGAGAAAAACAGCCCAGCAAGAGGTGTTTTTTTTCATTAGCAACAGACTCACATGAATTTAATCTACTAGGATAGGATTACATAGCAGATAACCCCTGGTAGCTGGTGTCTGATTATTGTAGTTTAGCCAACAAGCATGACCATCAGATAAATTCTCTGTACACTTAATTTTTATAGACAATTTGCTATGGGATTACTGTTTCCTTTAGCTGTGTTTTGGAAGGCTTTTGTTTGGATTCCCTTACAACACTCTCTTTCTCCTTCAGATTATTTATGCAATGAGACACTGATAGTCTAATTAGAGACAGACTGCTTGCCGAAGTTCAGGGGTTTTCCAATGTGGACCTGCACCTTCTCAAAGTATGGTGTTTTTTTAACCCTGGGTTTTGTTCTGGTCCATCTCTACATCTAGTCTACTTGAGAGTGAGGAAATGACAGAAGAAAGGATACAGGAGAACTGAACTGTATGCTGTAATTCTGATTACTATAGTAGATATCCAAACCACTATTACAAGCTTCCCATGTTCCACTAAGCTTATTACAAGATTCATGAACAATATTAGTCTATGGGCAATATTACATATATGTAGTACATTAAAATTCGTAATGCAAAAGCAATGATCCAATGTTTTTGTATTTTTAATTAATCATCCTGTATCTATGTATTTAGATTTGCACAGTTCTTGCTCATTAAAAATATATTTTCATTGAGAAAATGCACTGATAAATCCAGAGCCATGTAAATAGCAGATTTTCTGCCTTATATATTTTAGCTGAATATTAAAAATATAAGCAAAAATTGATACTAAATTGTATTCATTTAATTCTGCCAGGAATTTTTGCAACATATAAAATTGATTTCCTTGCATGTATGAAAATGCTTAGAGACATGCAATGTCTTCCATATAAAAGAGACTAAAAATACCCACTTAAGTAATCCACTAAACAGCAGTAACAAACACACAGTCAATAGCGTGCTATATAATCTCCTTGCCTACTGCATTAATGTCAATTATCTTTTGCTTACTACAGAATGTACATGATATTCTTTACCCTTCCAGTAAGTTAAGTGGATTTTTGTTTGTATGCAATCAAAGATTATTGATCTTGCATCAGTCCTCAATAAACTCTGAAAATAAAGTTGTTTAAAAAAGACATTTTGGACTCTTTAGTTTAAAGAGGATATGGATAAGAGGCACAAGGTGCATGAAAGAGGTAAGTAAAATAATAAAATATATGGAAGAGGTCCAATTTATCTCATCTGATAATACAAGGGGACACCTAACATATTTAAAAATAACACACAAAATTGCTAAAAAGAAATACTTTTTTTACACAACGGGAAATAAATCTGTGAAACTTGCTACCACAAAATATAATAAGGCCAAGAGCTTAGTGGGATTCAAAAAAAGGTTTAGACAGTCATGGGGGAAAAAATGTATCTCCAACAACTACAGTACTGTAGCAATGATTAACGTTTTCAGAGGATATCAGTCCTCATGCTTCAGATAATAAACTAACCCCTAGCTTCCTGGTATTAGGAAGACACTTTCTGCATAGGCACTTTTTGCACAAATGTCTATTTCTATTATGAGACATTTATACCTGGTACTAGCCATTGCTGGACACAGGATGGCCACCTGTCTAAAGCAGCAGTTCTCAAACTTCATTGCACCATGACCCCCTTCTGACAACAAAAATTACTATATGACCCTCCCCCTTGGGGGGGGGGGGTATGTGGAAGAGGACCAAAGCCCGAGCCCTGCCACCCCAGGTGGGTGGGGGAGGGGCCAAAGCTGAAGCCCAAGAGCTTCTGCCCTGAGTGGGGGGCATATAACCTTAGCCCCGGGCAGTGGGGCTTGGGCTTGGGCCCTGGACCCCAGCAAGTCTAACACCAGCCTTGGCAACCCCATTAAAATGGGGTCATGGCCTACTTTGGGGTCCCAACCCACAGTTTGATAACCCCTAGAATCATAGAATATCAGGCTTGGAAGGGACCTCAGGAGGTCATCTAGTCCAACCCTCTGCTCAAAGCAGGACCAATCCCCAGACAGATTTTTGCCCCAGATCCCTAAATGGCCCCCTCAAGGATTGAACTCACAACCCTGGGTTTAGCAGGCCAATGCTCAAACCACTGAGCTATCCCTCCGCACCCCGGTCTAAAGCAATGTGGCAATGCCTATGTTCCTATCCAAATTAGTCTTGTGTTATTCAAACCATTTGTTTATTTTTTACACTTAATCTTCACTCCATTCTAGAACAGTCTAAAGCATCTGTAAGGGACACTAGCCTGCATGGTCTTCATTCTCTCAAACAGAACTATACCCTGCAGAAAGGGTGAAATTCACCCCACTGCAGAGGCCTCATCCAAGGCCCTTCAGACCAATTACACCTTACAGCAAGGGCCTGAATTAAAGCCCAGTGATTTCAATGGCTTTAGGCCATAAAGGCACCCTGGCCTGGAGAGCCCTGTGGAGTGTCCCTTAAACTGGGATCAAATATCAGGAGGTAGCCGTGTTAGTCTGTATCCACAAAAACAAAACATCTGTTAGTCTTTAAGGTGCCACAGGACTCCTTGTTGTTAAACTGGGATGAATTTTACCCTCAGACATAAAAGGTTGGACATCCCTGACCCAGTGTAAGAAGCTGTTAAAAGTATTCCACTCTTAAGATGTACAGAGATTTGTCAAGTTTAGTGACAGTAGAACTTTGATGACTTAGAATTGCTGAATCAAAAGTGTCTAATGCTTTCAGAAACTGGTTTTTACTGAGCTACATTTCTGGGAAAACATTTCAGTAGAAATTGCTGACATTTTGAGGGAGGATAGAAAATTGTGGACATCCTTTAAGGCCAGACATATTTACCCATTCTTAAAGACTCATATTCTCTTACCTTCCATATACCCTTATGTCTGAGATTGCATAAAAGTAGCGTGCCAAGTGTTGCTCATCAACATATATTTCCCCAGTTGCTGGTCTGAGCAATCTGATTCTCAGGTCTGTGATGGTAAAGAAATCTCTCAGCTTCTTGGTTGTGTCAAGCTGGCCATACAAGGAAGCCATATTATGAAGCCGAGGTCCAGCAAAAAATGCAAATCGATCTTTGATCTCGAAGTGGATGATTTTACTATTTGTCATGTACCCAGTGGAGTATTCTTCTGTGCAAATGATTTCTAGGACTGTGTGCTGTGATAAATCCTTCACTGATTTGGGATCCATATGGAAAGCGTCTAAGCAGTCTGTGGCATAATACTGGTATGGTTGCCATGTTCGCCCATAGTCAAGTGATTTCTCCAGGATCATTTGGTCTGGACGGCCAGATTCAAATGTGATAACTATGTTATCGGTTAGTTCAATGGTTTTGTTCCAGGAGAGGGTAATGTTAACCTGGAGAGGTTTGGGATAATCTTTCCAAGTTGTAGACTGCCAAAATGAGGAGGGATGTCTTCCTTCAAGATCAAACATCAGTTCAGGTGGATGTGCCAGTTCATTGGTAGTTGCATCACATTCATTATTGCACATGTAGGGATTCCCCTATGAACGAAGAACAAAACAGTTTTACAAGCAGCATTATATGAATGACTACAGTACATAAAGGCATTCTTTGCTTGACAAATTAGCATTGCCTTTCTATTGTTTATGAGCAAAGCTAAGAAAGAAAATAAATGTTTGTAGGGAAGATCTTTGTTTATCTTAACTAGATTTCTCCCTCATACACAGATTCTTTGCCTTTGTAATTTATGTGGCTTTCTCGGTGGGTTTTGGAGAAAGAAAACAGTTTATTTATCCTGAATGTGTTGGGCCAGTAATCTAGTCACAAAAGCACAAGAACAATGAGCAAATGTCTAAAGACTCAATAACTCTGATTCTTCTTAGAAAGATGTAGCAGCGAAGCAAGGAGAATTTCTTTTTAACACAAGTACATTCCTCAAGAGCACAGTTCATAAAAAAGTCACTTTTAGGAGAAGTGCTTTAGAATCAGCAATACATTCTCTATGTGTGCAATATGAAACAATACCCACTACAGCTTTCATGCTTCCTTTTCCCCTGGCCTCAAATTTATCACGCTTAACTGTGCTCCTGTTTAGTAATGTCTTCCCTTAAAATGTTTACACTGTTCACTACAAATCATTAGAAACACAGTGCACTACAAGCTCTGGAGTTTGATCCAGACACCTACCACCCTATTAGCTACAGGCTAGCGAAGCACTTCAGTAAAGACTTTTTACCAGACACGGGCTCCAATTTATCAGGACAAGATAATCCACCACTTGATTAGGTGGGAGATGTCACGTCAGCAGGCCCAGCTGGAAGGCTGCTGAGGTGGCTGGAGGTTTGAACTGTGTGTCAAGTTTAAAAAAACAACACCACCACATAAACTTACCAATAATGTGTAGCTTTTACTAGTACTTGTCCTCTATAGCAAGGTGAAAGTGAATTATTCTGCTCTGGGCCTTTTGATGCACTAACTTGCACACTGCAATCTTCTTCTTCCTCCTCACAAAAGCTACTTCATCTGGAGGCTGGGGATAACTTGATAAACCATTGCAAGCTATTGGCTACTTTAAGCTGTCCTGGATCATGTCTACCTAATCTAGAAGCTTTCATCAGTACATTAATATTTGGCTACTTAATCATTCATTATTTGTTTCAGAAAACAATTACTGCTCTGTATTTTTTAGAGTTAAATTGCAGCAGCTGGGCATCTATACTGTCCCATCTATGCACAAAGGTTCCTCTTCCTCACATTAACAGAAGTTCGACTCACATATTGATGGGAGAATAGACCCTTATGTAATTAATTTTCCTTTTTTTTTCTTATCATTGCAATTATGTTTCTTTCCATCTCAAGACCTTAGGGATCTGAAGCTTTGCAATCACACCCACTGAATGAGCTAGGTCTCAAATAATGAGTTTCCATCTTGGTCACTGCCACAGTCCCTGACATACTCAAGTTAAATGCAAGAAAAAGGTCTTAAGCACTTACTCTGACCTCCCTAGAGGCAACTTTCTCCTTCCTACTCAGAGAAATACTCTCTCTCATTCTTTCCCATTAATGTAGCTGAATCCCAAAACCGACAACAATTCATTGAGACTCAAATATAATGCAAGAGAAGAAAATGGGTTATTTGAAAAACAGAACACTGCTTATTAAATTGACAGACTCTAAACATGTAGCTGTAACTGAGAAGATCCTTGTTACAGTTTTCCTGCTTTCAAGCTCAGGATCACTATTTCCATCATAGAATCACAGGGTTAGAAGGGACGGAATAAAGCAGAGGGAAAAATAACAATATAGTCTAAGCAGGATGGATAAGCCACTAAGTTTTTTATTATTTAAGCTCAGTTTAAAAACATACTCAGAGACACAAATGCAAAGATCTGCAACCTTGCTCGGGCTTTTTTCAGAAGCTTATAAATACTGTGGCATCTGTAAGGATTTATATATTTTAAATATATGTAAATGTGCACTTTACAGAAAGAGGTCAGCGTTATCACTGGAAATTTACTCAAACAATGTGGTCACTTCAGTCTGTCCACATGAAGCTATCAGTATAGCCATGAACATGCATGCTACAATCTCCTTTCTGGCAAAAGCTATTTCATCTAGAGTTCAGGAATATCAAAACAGAGAAAATCAAAGCTACTGGATAGCAAGTTACAGACATTTATATTAAGCAGAACAGAAAGATGGCTTTGGTCTTCTACAGCACAGACACAAAACACACATGTGGGTCTGTTGTTATTTTTATGTTAAAAACTATCCACTGGTCCCAGGATACCAGCAGAGACTATGTTTCATGAACCAGAATGGATACAGGAAGGCTATTTACCTTACAGTAACTGGAGCAGACAGTAACTGTACAATGAAATTAACTAGATGATTGGGTGGGAAAAGATTGAACTTTGCTTGTTGTTTTCAGATCAATCTTTGGGCAGGTGAAGAGGCTTCACAAAACTGTATGATTGCTAATGATGTATGTAGCAGATGTAGTCAGTGCCTTAGGGACAATCAAAACAGGTAACTTCAAGGTAGTCAGACAAACTTTACTGGAACAAACTCTCCCATCTCTACATTTTAGAGATCAGCATGGTCTAATGTGGTTGGGCCACCAAAAGATTTAAGGCTGATCTTGTTTGTTGGCAAATACTGTAATGTGCTGCTGAGACCAGGTTTATGCTACAGACTTCTGCTGGCAGAGCTATATCTGTCAGGGATGTGAAGAGGTGTGGTTCTCTAACCAACACAGCTGTGTTGGCAGAAGCCAGTAGTATAGATGCAGTAATACCAGCAAAACTGTACTTTACTATACTGGTACAAAGTGCAGCTTCTGGTATTGCTGCATCCATACTAGGAATACTTTGCCAGTACAGTATATTGGTATTCTCATATCAGTAAAGTGCTCCTAGTGTAGACGTAGTCTGACTGCTGCCAAGCCACCCTAATCCTGTTTGTGAGATCTCTGATTGTTGTATTATTGCTCTCTCCAGGCTTCCATGCACAATGCAAATAAAATATTCCATAATTAATGAAACTCTATGTGTCGCCAGTGCTGCTATTCTTCACAAGAGAGAGAGCTGTATTTTAATTCCTATCTGTCTATATTGTGCTTTGGGATGGAAGATGTTGTATAAATTCAAGTTATTACTGACCTTATAAAAATCCACTAGATATTAAATATTGGATCTTTTGGGTTTATACCAAACAGTTATTGATTCTGTGAAGAGTCCAAATGAGAACTCAATTCATTGGGGATGAAATTCATCCTGAGCTGAGGGTCAGCACAATTCCTATGGACCACTTCATATTCATTAAAACCTATTTTCAGGCAAGCCTGGTCTAATGGACAGGGGTAGATTTCACCCCCTCTGAGTTTTTTCACTGAAAACAAAGAGTAATCATTACCGCTGTCAGAACTGCCAACTCCAAGTGTTCAAAAATCATGGCCTGAAGAAAACATAAGATTGACTTAAAATCTCCATCCATCCAACCTTTGGCTTCTTTTTATTTGCCTTTTGGTTTTTGAATCTTTAGGGTGCACTTGGCTCACATTTTCAAGTTTTTCTCAACAACTATCAGGGCTAGGAGCTTACTCTGTTTTAAATGAAGGCTGAGAGTCTCATATTTTCACAAGATTCCAGGAGTTGGAACTTGGAGGAAACACAAAATACCATAGGACTTGGAATAAAATCATGAAGCTAGCAACAATAAAATATCTAAATCAGCAATTCTCAAACTTCATTGCACCGCAACCCCCTTCTGACAACAAAAATTACTACATAATTGGAGCTATTTAAGAATAGCCATACTGGGTCAGACCAAAGGTCCATCTAACTCAGTATCCTGTCTTCCGACAGTGACCAATGCCAGGTGCCCCAGAGGGAATGAACAGAACTGGTAATCATCAAGTGATCCATCCTCTGTCACCCATTCCCAGCTTCTGGCAAACAGAGGCTAGGGACACCATCACTGCCCATCCTGGCTAATAACCATTGACTACTTTGGGCTAGATGGACCTTTGGTCTGACCCAGTATGGCTGTTCTTATGTTCTTAAATAGCTACAATCATGAAATTTATGATTTTTTAAATCCCATGACTGTGAAATTGACCAAAATGGACCGTGAATTTGGTAGGCCCTAGTTATATTGATATCCATTTTAAGGCCCCTTTACACAGCCAGAGCAGCGGTTTAAATGGGCATTAGTGTAAATGATTCTGGATAGCTATAGTTTCATGAAATATGAATATCCATTTTCCCTCACTTCCATTCAGACAATGGGGAACTTGCCTCTGTTTGTGATTTGTCTTCCTGTCCCTATGTTTTAAGATAATGTTAAAATTCAGGGTGTCTGATTATATTACAATAAAATAGATCTTTTTCTAATTTACTCTCAGGGCTGTTATAATCTTGGCCTTCACAACATCCTCTGGCAAGGAGTTCCACAGGTTACTGTGCGTTGTGTGAAGAAATACTTCCTTTTGTTTGTTTTAAACCTGCTGCCTATTAATTTCATTTGGTGACCCTTAGTTCTTGTGTTATGAGGAGTAAATAACACTTCCTTATTTACTTTCTCCACACCAGTCATGATTTTATAGACCTCTATTATATCCCCCCTTAGTTGTGTAACCCCTGTTTGTGTTTTTTTCTGGGGAGCCTTGGAATTTCAGGGTCTTGGGTTGCTCCTTCCCTAAGCACTGTTGGTGTTTCCCTGAAGCTTCCTAATGGTCTGCTGCAATCTCTGAGATACCCTTGCATGATCTGTCTTGTTTTGGCAGTCCAAGGCATAGTGACCATCTCTTCCACAGTTATAACAGAAACCTTCTCGCTGGCTATCACCCCTCCTGCTACTCTCCCCTCTTGAGGATGGCACAGTATGTCCCTGAGCCTTCATCATGGCCACT